GAGGAGGAGGAGGAGGAGGAGGAGATTGGATTTATACCCCGCCCTTCACTACCCGAAGGTGTCTCAGAGCGGTTTACAAACTCCTTTCCCTTCCCAGAGCCACAGATAGCAGGTCAAACAGCCACAAGTGGCTTTTGAGCCACTGAGTACCACAGCTGTGAGCAGGGTAACCAACCTCCATGTGGGACCAGGAGATCTCCTGGATTTACAACTGATCTCCAGACTACATAGACCAGTTCCCCTGCAGAAAATGGCTGCTTTGGATCGTGGACTCTATGGCACTATGCCCCGCCCTCCCCAGGTTCTATCCCCAAATCTTGGGGGATTTCCCAACCTAGAGTATGTTTAGCCTGGAGAGGAGACGGCTGAGAGGGGATATGATCACCATCTTCAAGTACTTGAAGGGCTGTCATAGAGAGGACGGTGCAGAGTTCCTTTCTCTTACCCCAGAAGGTCAGACCAGAACCGATGGGTGGAAATTAAATCAGAAGAGTTTTCGGCTAAACATTAGGAAGAACTTGCTGCACCTCAAAGCGGTTCCTCGGTGGAACAGGCTTCCTCGGGAGGCGGTGGGCTCTCCGTCTTTGGAGGTTTTCAAGCGTTGGCCAGATGACCATCTGTCAGCAATGCTGATCCTGTGAACTTAGGCAGAGCATGAGAGGGAGGGCAGGAAGGGTTGCCCTGGTACTGAGTTCTCGTGGCCCTTTCTTACACGCCCAAGGAAATGCTGATCACCACTTTGGGGGTCAGGAAGCGATCGTTTTCTGGGCCAGCTTGGCTCATCTTCTGGGCATGGAATAGGGGTCACTGGAGGTGTGGGGGGGGAGGTATTTGTGAATTTCCTGCATTGTACAGGGGGTTGGACTAGATGACCCTGGAGGTCCCTTCCAGCGCTGTGGTTCTATGATTCAACCTGGATCTCCCCAGTCGAGGACATTATCCACTGTATCACACTGGTTTTCAAATCCCCGCTCAAATCAATTCAGCTCCCCTCAGTCAGGTGACTTGGACAACTGACTGGGTTGGATCTAATCTAGGGGGATCTAATCCTCTGGCTGCCTGCTATTGCAGTGGGAGAAAATGGGGGGGGGGGTCACTTCCAGTCATGTAACTGGAAGTTACATTACACATTGCAACAACGTTCTAGTAGTCCCCCAAATCTCTATGGTGTTACCATAGGTTTGAAGGACTCCTAGAGTGTTGCAATGATGTGTGATGCCCCTTCCAGCGACACAGTTGGAAGTGATGTCATGCTGTCACATGACACCTAGCCACGCCCCGCAAAGCTTCTGGGTTAAATTTTCCATCAGAAGAAAAGGCCGTTCCTGCCTTCCCCCTCCCACTGAAGTAAGGTTGCCAACTCTGGGTTGGGAAATACCTGGAGTCACAGGGCTCTTTTTGTAGAAAAAGCCCAGCAGGAACTCATTAGCATAATGGGTCACACCCAACAGCAGAAACTCATTAGCATATTAGGCCACACCCCTGACAGCACAGCTCATTGGCACATTAGGCCGCACCCCCATGTTACCAGAAGTGTGGTCATCCAGCCACACCCACCTTTTGCTTGTTATTCTGCTTACCTTGTTTGTTGTCAAAACCCAGGGCCTTTTTTTGTTGCAGGAACTCCTTTGCATGTTAGGCCACACACCCCTAATGTAGCCAATCCTAATGAGTTTCTGGTGTTGGGTGTGGCCTGTTATGCTAATGAGTTCCTGCTGGGTGTGGCCAACTTGGGAGCCAACTGGAACTCCGTTCCTGTGCGTTCCTGCCCAAAAATAGCCCTGCCTGGAGATTTTTGAGGCGGAGCCTGGGAAAGGAGGGATTGGGGGGGAGGGGAAGGGCCTCAGTGTGGTGTAACCCCACAGCCATGTCGTCCAGGGGAACCGATCACCTGGAGAACAGTTCTAATTCTGGGAGATCTCCAGGCCTCACCTGGAGGTTGGCAACCCCACACCAAAGTCCACTGATTCCCCACAAAATGCTAAATGAGGAACGAGGAGACAACACGGGGGGGGGGGTCTGCAGGGGGACGGGGAAATTGGGGGGAATTGCCCATTTATTCTGGATCGAACCCAACCTTCCTTAGCCTAATCTCCCTAATGGGCTTGTTGTAAGTGTGAAATGAGCGGCGGGGGAGAGAGATACGCTGCTCTGGGTAACTGGGAGGGAGGCTTTATTAGTTTAGGAAGGTCTTCGTGGTTTTATACCCTGCCACTATTTTAAAGGTAATTGGTTTTCGGTGCTTTATCTGACTCGATTTTAAATTTCGCAAGCCCATTTCGAAGGCATTACTGGGAAGAGTTTCAGACACAGCTGAGTCGCTTCGGGCGGAAACCTGATATCGCAGCCATATTTATAGCGTATTGATTTATTTAGCAGATTTCTACGCCGCCTCCCAAGAGTTAGAGTTAGAAATAATAAATTATCAGTATAAAAATGGCAACAGAAGAAAAACAGGCGGCTTCACGCGTTGGAACACGTTGTGGTGGGAAGGGGCATCAAGTCGCAGGCCAATTAATGGTGACCCTGTGAGGTTTTCAAGACACGAGACGCTCAGAGGTGCTTTGCCACT